ACATAAATTTTTAGATGAAACTGTCATTATCACGTTCGTAGTATAAAATTAGAAACATCAGTCGTCAGACCTTACAAAAAAAGAAATAAATAATTTTGTAAGCATAAAATATTTCACCTGTCTATCAGCTATTACAATTTAGAAAAGAAACAGTAGAAAGAAAATAAAGAGGTGGAAATGATAAAACAGTGATGCAGTGACGTAACAAGGCTTTTTTTTATGGTTTTCAAATTTGAGTTGCTGGACAAACTGCTGCAAACGAACTTTTGTTCGTGTTTTGCACGATCAGATTTTTCGTCAAAATTTTGGTCGGTGTGAAAACTTGATTTTTTTAATTTTATTTTGAGCTATCAATTTTTGCGGAACAAATTTTTTGAACGCACTTCTGAGGCTTTATTTTCAACTAGACATACCAATTTCAATGCTGAAATTAATAGCATTTTAACATAATTGGAAGTGCTTTGTACTGGTTAAAAAACTGTTTCCTCAATTAAAACTCTTTGTATTTTTAAGAGATTATTTAAGTTTTTTTTCTTTTTTTTTTTCTGCATTTGTCATAGTCAAAAGTTTTGAGCAGAACGAAAGTTTCACATTCTTGTCGACGTTGTTCAGAATTGCCTCTGAAAATTTTACTTTCTAATAACAATATCTTCCGGTTGTACGTTATGTAACCGTTGTTAATACATGGTAACGAACAATGGTAGTTGGTTTCTAGAAACGAGTCGATCGACTGAGCTGACGTTTTAGAACTGCCAAAAATGGCTGTCAAACATTTTTGGTAAACATCTGTGACGTTCCAGTTGCAGTTTGCTACCAATCAACTGGGTGACGATGGTTGAATGAATCGAAGCACGAGATACTGAAGGGTAGAATGGAATCAGGAGAATGTGTAAGGATTTCTTTGTAAAAATTTTCGTGATATTCTCCTCCCGTAAAGAATTTATGTTGTATAACAATAAAAAGATTTATTCTAGAAAGTGAGTGTAAACGATATTTTTTAATTTCAATTGTTGATTTTTGTATTTGTAATCTTGCGGTGATTAAAAAGTAAAATTTTTTATTGTATAGACGTTGTACAGCTATAAATTACTGTTTTACAGCACCTGACTGCTCGAGCAAGTAATGCGGACAGTAGCTTTCTAAATTTAATGCTTTTTTGCCTTCTATAAATATTTGTAGAAATTATTCCCGATGACTACATGAACAATTTGACTCTTCGTCATCAGTCATACGTACATTTCTCGGTCCAAAAAAGAAGCACGAAAAGAGGCAAAAAAAAAAGGGTGGAGAAGGAGGAAAAGAAAAAACTTGCAACTTTTCAATTTAATTTACTTATTTGGTTATCATTATTTTTTTTTTTTGTTAAACTCTCATTTAAAAAACAGATTTATATATACATTTGACTTCTTACTTCGCCAGTGACAAAACTTTCTATGGAGCACTGTATGTGACAGTCTGATAAAGTAGTTGTCACAGACGAAGTAAGAAGTCAAATGTATATATATATATCTGTTTTTTAAATGAGAATTTAACAAAAAAAAATAATGATAACCAAATAAGTAAATAAAATTGAAAAGTTGCAAGTTTTTCATTTTCCTCTTTCCCCACCTTTTTTTTGCCTCTTTTCGTGCTCCTTTTTTGAACCGAGAAATGTACGTTCAAAGTACAGACTACAACGGTAATAAGGCATATAATTCATTTGCAGAATGACGTAAGAAAGAAGAAATTTTTCCTTCATTTTTCAAGAAGCAATTATTCCTTTTTTGTTTTCACTTTTTTCAATGACTTCTTTGAAAAATAATGAAGATGAGAGAAGACAGGAAAATAAATAAAGATTTCAAAAAGAAATTTTACGTAGAAGTGATGTTAAAAACACAGCGGTAGAAGTTCGACGTAATAAATTTACTAGTTTCTAAGTCTTATCTGAAAAGAAATGATTCACAAAAGAAATATAATAACTGGAAGAAAAAGGTTTACATTTTTTTTTTTTGACTACAAAAATCAGTGCTGCGAAATAGCGAAAAAATACTGTTTACCTGTTTATTTTTTTGCTTAAAATAGTTTCTCTGTTGCCGAAATTATGACACCTTTATCAGTTATACAAAGCATCAAATACAGAAGAGCCTTACATCAACAGTTTCTAACCAGCTCTAAGACTTCATACTCAAAGTATGGTCTAATCATTCTAGACATTTTTTTTTAATTTTTCAAAAAACCGTATTTGTCAGAACTTATCTCCTTTAAAAAGAAACAAATTGCTTGAAGTTATGCAATATTCACTATTCACTACATCTAAGTACCTCTGATAGACAGAACTCGCAAACATGATAGAAACTGGCAAAGTTTTTAAGAAATTAAACTATTTTCCAGTTTTTTGATATCGAATAGAAAACATCATCGACTAAGTATCAGTTATTAGACCTATCAGACACTGAGGCTTTGCATTGCAAAAGTGATTTGCTTAGTGATATTTTCACTTTTGGCTTTTTGATGTCTTTTTAGAAATCTGCCAGCGTTCAAAAAGAAAAAAAAACCGGATTCGAGAAAGGAAAAAAATTTCACTGCTTTGATAACCGTAAAAGTGCTTATAAGAAATACTTGATTTATGCATTTGTGATTTATGCATATTTTGAGCTTTACTAGTAAGCTCTACAAGCATCTACAGGCACCTCAATCATCACCAGAAATTATACTTAATTATTCAAGACAAAACTGAACATAGAAGAAGAGAAGAAAAAAGAACGACCGTGATTTTGAGGACAGAAAACTTGGAGAAGATACTGAACAAAAGAAAAGAAAGCGATAGCAACCATTCTAGCAGTCATACTGATTATGCTTAGTTATAAACGCTTATCAGTTAATATAATTAATCAAGTTTTAGAATAACAGCAAAAGTTGTATTAACGCTGCTGTGATACTGTTAGGTAATTACTGATGTAAGAACGTTATTGGTATTAGGCCATTGTAAATTACTCGTTTTTTCTTAACTCCTCATCTTAGCACTGGTTCTCTCACATTTTTTTTTTTTTTTGCATTGCATTGCCAGCACCGTCGTGGTAATGAAAATTACTTGAATATAACATTTCAAACTTGTCAAGTTTCTTTTGACCTGCTGTATGTTTATAAGTGAATAGTTGATCTATACAGAAAACTGATAACCTGGTAGTTGATACATAGCTGTATTAAGTAACCAATTTTAATCTGTAGTCACCGTTCTGAGCTTGCTGGTCTTTACATAAACGTTACA